TTTTTACAATATTCTTATTGGTCCAATGACAAGAAGCATTAATCCTTCTTTAATTTGCGACCAAGAAACAAGAATTTGGTCAAAAATTATTCGAGTTATGAATTTTTTTCCGATTTTTTTTCAATTTTCATTTTTCTGATACGGGCGGGTGGGGACGCTGGCTATCAAAAATTTTTTTAAAAAATTCTTATTGGTCCAATGAAAAGAAGCATTAATCCCTCTTTAATTTGCGACCAAGAAACAAGAATTTGGTCGAAAATTGATCGAGTTATGAATTTTTTTTGAACTTTTATTCCAATTTTCGTTTTTCTGATACGGGCGGGTGGGGACGCTAGCTATCAAAAATGCTTTGAAAATATTCTTATTGGTCCAATGACAAGAAGCATTAATCCCTCTTTAATTTGCAACCAAGAAGCAAAAAAATTAGTCAAAAAATGTTGCAGTTATTATTTTTTTTGATCTTTTTTCTAATTTTTGGTTTTTTGATACGGGCGGGTGAGGACGCTGTCTATTAAAAATTTAATAAAATAAAAATTTGCAATTGTTGCATTTTAAAAGGCAAAAATTCTTTTTTATTTTCTATTAAGAAAAAAAAATTTGTTAGAAAACTGTTTGAGTTTTGAATTTTTTTAGTGCTTTTTTTAAAGTTTTGATATTAATTTTAGTTTGCATAAGTTACTTCTATCCCTGCGATTAGCTGATGAACAAATTCATTACCCCAGAATGTGTTGCGTGGAGGTTGCAATTTTGTACAGTCATTTTTTAATTTTTTTTTTTAAATTTGTATTCGTAATTCGTAATAAATTGGAAAAAAAATGAAAAAAAATTCATAATTTGAACAATTTTAGACCAAATTGTTATTTTTTGGTCGCAAATTAAAAAAAGATTAATGTTTTTTTAGATTGGTACAAAAAGAATTTTTAAAAAAATTTTTTGATAGCCAGCGTCTCCACCCGCCCGTACGCTAACCACTATGCTACGCTCGCATGGGACTCTCAAATCTTAAATACTCTCAAGTGTCACAAGCTGAAATGAAACTTGTCGAATAACTACGCGTCAATGCTACAGCTATATTTTTATTATTATATAATATATTAAATAATTGTATCTCAATATAATATAAATAAATAATAAAATTTTCTAACAGCTGGAATTATTTTTAAGAAAATTGAAATAAATTCTTCAAAACAATTCAATTATTTTCAAAATTTTGAATAAAAATTATTAAAGAAAGATTTATTATTTTTAAGAAAATTGAAATAAATTCTTCAAAACAATTCAATTATTTTCAAAATTTTCAAAAAAAATTATTAAAGAAAGAATTAAATTATTTTCAATACAATTTTATTAAAAAAATTTTAAATAATTAAATCCCTGCGAAAAAATATATTATTTCTACAAATAACTGAATTTTTGCAAAATTTTAAAAAATAAGTAAATTTTTGAGAAGAATTTTATTAAAATTGTATATTTAAAATAATTGATTTCCATCGAAAATTTTATTATTTTTAAAAATAATCGAATTCTTCAATTGGATTTTATTAAAAGTTTTTTAAATAATTGAACTCCTGTAAAAAATTCAATTATTTTTTTAAATAAATGATTTTTCTTGGAGAAGTTTTATAAGATTTTTAAAAATAATTGAAATTTTTAAGTAAATCAGTAAATTAAATTACTTAATTTTAAAATTTTAAACATTTAAGAAGAAAAATTAATTTAGTTTAAATTGATTTAAATAAAAATTATACTTTTGATTCCAGTAAAAATATTTATTTAATACCGTTTAATATCAAATCAAAAAATAAATTAAGTAATTGAAAAATTTTGTTACAGAAAATAATTTTGTCTCAATTTTTGAAAAATTTATATAACATTGTAAAAATAAAAAAGGAATTTTTGTGATTTAAAATTTTGTATATGTCTCTCTTGATATATATTAAAATAAAAAAAAACAGTATGTTTAACGATTGAACGGACGAAAGGTTTATTACAATAGAGTTATTGAGTTATTAAGTAATATATATAAAATATAAAGAAAAGAGGAGCGTTACAATAAATCATTTATGATGCAAGGTTTCACTTTTATGACCAAAAGTTGAGAAATAATAATAATATTGGGAAGTAACGACGTTTGAAGCTTCTCGATTTTAAGGTTCAATTTTACGATTTCATAATTATTTTTTTTATGATTCCAACCACAATTTTTCGAATTGTTGTTTTTTTCTTTCACACATTTATTGGTAAAGTGTTTTAATAACTTTCTCATAAATCACAGGAAAATTGGTATAAAGTTATTTTTTTAACCTTATGTTTTATTGACATTTTTGAAAAATAATTTTTATTTCAATTTTAGGTTGTAAATATATATTATTATTATTATTAATATTAATAATAATAATAATATTTAATAATAATAATATTATTATTATTATTAAATATTATTATTATTATATTACTTTCTTATTATTTATTATAAATTTATTTATTTAGCTCAAATTTTTTCCTATTTTCAAAAATATCTAAAAAAATAGAAAAAAATTTCTTTCTTCACTTGCAAATTTCAAAAAAACGATTGGAATCTGCTCTCAATTGCAACCATCAAGTTTAGAGGGAGCGGAAATATTCTACGCACGGCAAAACTTGCGCCTGACTTCCGCGGAGTGCATATATTTATAGAGTCATCCTAATTTACAAAGCAAATTAACGAATTATGCTAATTAGAAACGATTACTCCCCCGAGAGAGTTTTACTACCGTTAACAAATTCTCATATCATGATAAAACCTATACTCCTTTTGTTGAATTTTATCTGCCCTTTTAAAATTTTTTTTCTCCTTTTTTTCCTTATATAATTCAACGTATATATAGTCCCTATCTCTTAGAATATTTTAATTCATTTCTCAGATTCTCACGTTTCCACGAGCTTTTAAAATATATACATATATCTATATTAAACACAATGATGCGCACTCGCACGAGTCTAGAAATTATACATTATCCAATGTGAAATTTTCAATTCAAATTCACAGAATTATTCTAATTACGATTTTATAATAAGTCATTTTCAATTTAGTGGAAATTTAATAACTTCTTTTTTTCTACCGTTATTCAAATTTCGCGCTTATAAATTTAGCATTTTTTCTAATTATTTTTTTTTTATTTTTTTATTTATTAATTTATTATATTATTATTATTTTTACCATTACTAGTTTTTTTGTTAGTAATATTTCTATTTTAATTATTATTATTTAAGATTTATTACTTTGTAATATTTATTCATTTTAATTTCTAGGTAATTATGCAATTATAATTATAATTAATTATCAATTATTATTATTATTATTTATTTGTTTTTGCGTTGATACCGTTTCTCTTTAATTATTTTGTAATAAAAACCCTAACTATATTAATTTTGAAAAATCTGTAAATAATTATTGAATTCAGGTGCGGTAAAATTTTTTGACATTTTGAGGTTATGTTTCTATGTATTTTAATTTAGATTTCTTAATAAGATTCGATTTTATTACTACATATTTATTATTATTACTTGTTGTTATTACTACAAAGTAGTTATTATTTTTCAATATTAATTTGTCATTTATTACTATAGTAATAAATGACATTAATTAATAATTAATACCGATTCATTTGCTGAAAATAATAAATTCAATTTCAAACGACAATTGCAAGAATAAAAAAAAATCAGCAAGAATGCAAACCCAAGACAAAAAAACAAAAACTATCAACAAAACAATTGCCTTACGGATAATTTATATACAAGACATTTATTTTCATGATTTTCTATTAATAAATGTTTATAGTGATAAAAAATAAATTGAAATTTTTTGTTATTAAATCTTTAAATAAACTTTTACCTTTACTGTGTACTCTCCGTGCTCCTTGATTTCCAAATTCCAACACTAAAATTTTGACGATACATATATTCTTGACCATTCTTGACGCCAAAGTTTTGACAAAATATACTAATTTACTTTTTAGCTGCCAATAAACTATTATGATTTATGGATAATTTAAGTATTACTGCACTTAATTAGCAAAAAAAATGAATTGATTCGACATTAATAATGCAAATATTATTCAGATTAAAATTTGACAATGCGACGTTCCTTCTACTTTTGGTGACGCCATTTGCAATTAGTACATGAGGTTAGGAATGGCAGGCGTGCCAACCCAAGATAAAAAAGAGAAAACCAAAATACTACCAACGTAACAAAACAAAATTCCCTCAAATACTTCATATCATAATAGAAAATGTACTAAATTTACTTTTTTTTACTACTTTTATAAATAAATATTTAACACAATGTTTATATTGAGCCTTTAAATATACTTTTACCAATGTACTTCTTTGTTTCGCACCGTTTCGCACTAAAATCTTGAGGTTACATTCTTGGCGTCAAAATTCTGTTTCAATATTCAGCTTTTTCTTTCTAGCAATTAAATTTATACAATTTCCGATTAATTTTCACAAAACTGAACATAATTATAAAAAAAAACACTATAGGGCTACCGTAACGGGGTCAACACCAGATGGCGTAAAGTTTTAATACGAATTATATTTAGGCCTAATTATATTTAAATGATTAAAATCACTTTGACAAGAAAACGTCTACATACTATGACTAATTGACTACCAGTGATGCTGCTAAAAAACGTGAGTACAAAAATAAATTCAGTAAATAATTGAAAACCAGGGGATTCCCCCAAATTTATAAGTTTAGTGCGCTAACCGGTCTAGCAACCGAGAGTAAAAATTGCCTACGCGCAGGGGCAAGCGGAATTTTTTTAAATGTCAAGAAAAAATTCCTTTTTATTATAATTCTCTCAGTGAAAGTAATACAAACAATATTTAGGGCAATTTTGCAATAATTTTTCTCCTTAGTGATTTAGAGAAAAAAAAAATTATTAATTAGAGGGGGAAAATATACAAGAGGGCCTTTTTAATTAATGACTCGACCCTGTCAAAAGGGAAAAACAGCAGAAGAAAGAAAGAGAGAAGTGTGTTTATATTTTTGCGTCGTCAAGAATTTAATCTCTATATATGATCTCGCTATTAAAATTTCTTCTAAACCACCTTCATATATCAACGCACGATGTCGTGTGTTTTTCGTTCTATTTCGTCGTCTGCTCTAGTTAAAAAAAATTTTTCGATTGAGAGAAAATAAGAGATATAATACAATAAGTAAATAGGAAAACTCTTAATTTGTGTGTTTATTATCAACTGAAATTATTGACTGAAAAGTTATTAAAATGAAATGTTTAATAGAAAATTTCACATTTCTATGAAATAATTACGATAGTTTTGGTTTTAAGTTTAATTGATAAAACACGTGGATAAGAAGGAAAAAAAAATATGGTGAATTCAATCGTGAATGTAAATCCTCGAAATGCTGTCGGTAGAACATGCCGGCCAAAATCGTAAGTTTATTTTGTATTAATTTTTAATAATATTTGAAGTAAATTGAGAATTTTTTTTTATTTTTGTGTTTTTTATACTTCATTCATAATTAATTGGAAATACTTTTTTTAATACATGATTGCTGAGAGGTTATGTTTAATTTTCTACGACTTATGATTTTGATATTTATTTTTTCTTTCGTTAAATTCTCTCTTTTATTTTCTTTTATGCTTTTTGGTAATTTTCTTTATAAATTTTGACATATTTCGAACGTTTAACCTCAAAATTTAAACAGTTGTTTTGTATTTTTTGTTTCATTTAAAATCTTTGAAAACTTTTCCAATTAATTATGTGGTACAATATTTTCAACTCTGTGGTATTAATTTGTTTACTTTTTATTAAAATATTTTCATTTTCTTAAATTTCATATTTTTGGAAAATATGAATTTTTCAATTATATCAAAATTTTTCAATTTTATTAATTTATTCAATTTCAATTCAATTTATTATGTAGTTTATTCAATTTCAATTCAATTAATTACTTTATTCATTTTCAATTCAATTTATTCAATTTCAATTCAATTAATTACTTTATTCATTTTCAATTCAATTAATTAATTTTAACTCAATTTATTAATTTGAATTCCACATTCTATTAATTAAATAAATTTTAATTTAATTCAATAATTTACACTTTTTATTAATTGATTCAAATAAAATTTTTTTTAAAAATAATTGACAATTTTTTACTGAATTTAAAAGTTTATTTAATATAGTAATTGAATTTTTAATCAATGATTTATTTTTCCCATCAATAATTTATTTTTTAAATAATTGACAGTTAATTGAAAATTCATTTTTTAACTAAATTACCAAAAATTACGAAAATTTTTAATTAATTTAACTAAAAATTTTTATTTTTATATAATTTTTTACAAGCATTTTTTTTAATTTAGTTTTTCAATAGTTGACAATTAACTGAAAATTGATTTTTTTCAAACTAAATTATCGATAATTATTAAAATTTGCTAAAAATTGTTCTTTTAATCAATTTTAATTCATAATTTTTATTTTTATAATTTCTTATAATTTACTTTTTGTAATTTTAAATATTTTTCTTAATATTTATTATTTTAGTTTAATATTTATTCTTTTAGTTGAATATTAATTGTTTTAATTAATTTAATTAATCGATTAGTTATTAATAATTTAATTCAATAAATATTTATAAATTTATTTATTAGGTTACAATTATTGACAATAATTTTGTTCTAAATTTCAATTAATTAATTTTAAATTCTATTGTTTCAATTATAAATTAATAATAATTGTTTCTTTTTAGATTCGGAGAAACTCACGACAATTTCAATTGGATCGAATGCGTCTCGAAAAAGGATCCAAATGTCAATTATTATTACAATATGCGAACGCATTCGAAAACTTGGAAGAGACCAGTTCCCGATTATGTGGATCTTCCATTTTACAATCCGTACGCGGTAGGAAAAAATTATTACTAAATAATAATAATAAAAATTATTATTAACTTTATTAAACAATGTTTTTCAATTCTGTTATTAAAAAATATTTACATTTTTTTGTCAAAATTGTTGTTGTAATTTTTGTTAAAATTGTTATTAGGTACCAATTAATAGAGACGAGGAGGAGGACGAGAATGATGATGAGAAATTTTTGGCCTTTGTTTCCGATTTGGACGATGAGGATTTTTATGAGGACGACGACAATGAAGAATATCGGGACAATGAAAATTATCGGCTCCGAAAAGAAAAGGAATTAAATGAAAATGCCCTTCAAATTGGCACAAAACTTTATTACAGTGGTTCGAGGGATTTAAGAAAAACACGAAAACGACGTCTCAGCGATAATGACGAATTATCCGATTATTCACAATATTTGCCAATCAACGATTTTCTTGAATTTGATCTCGTCTCGGAGAATTCCTCAAAACGAATGCGATTCTCAAGTTCAACTTCCGATCAAACTGATCATTTGAATTTAGAAAATTTAACACTCGATCAATTCAATATCAATTCACTGACACACGAAAATCAATTGCAACTAAATCAATTGAATTTAAATCAATCAATTACAAATCAATTGACACTGAATCAATTGAATCGTTTGGATCTAAATGAAATGAATGAGGAGAAATTCTGCGAATCTATCAACGATCGTTCATTATCCGACGAGAGTTGTAATTGTAGCGTTTGCCTCGCACAAGACAATAATGACGCGTCTGGCAGTTGTGACGAATCATCACGTTATAGTCTTGCCTCAAAATTTGACGCCCCACGTCTCAAGCAAATAACAGACAACGATCTCGTCAAGGTACAACCAAAAAAACGTGGTCGACCCAGAAAAATTAAGAAGGAAACAAAAAAAATACAATTAACACCCGTAAAACGTATTTACGATATGTACGGAACAAGAACCGTTAATTATGATCCAAATTATAATTTTATCAATAAAATCGATCCAAATGGTCTGGAAAATACACGACTCAGCGATGACACAAGTGATTCAAGTCCAAACGAAAAGAGAATATCGAGAAAGAAGAAAAATTGTCACAATTTTCTAAAACGTTTCCGAAATCCAAATTTAAGTGACACCGAAACATCAAGTGAACTCGAGGACAATATGTCGATGTCAGTGAAATCGGAAATCACCTCAACGGACGATAATCATGTGAATCGTTTCAAATACTGGCAAATTAAAATGAAACCCCTCACAGTTAGTTTGGAACGTCTAGAAAGTATTTCCACGAAAACGAAAAAATCCTACAAAGAATTATTGGGAGGACGTGAATTGTATGTTCGACTCGAGAGATTGGATGTCGCAAAATATTTCGCTCGAAAATCGGAGAATTTGTCGAGAAATTTTTCATCTTTGAGCAAAAATAATTCGAATTTATCTAGAAATTTTTCATCTTCGAGCAAAAATAATTCGATGATAAATTCGAATTTATCTAGAAATTTTTCACCTTCGAGCAAAAGTAATTCGATGATAAATTCGAATTTATCTAGAAATTTTTCACCTTCGAGCAAAAGTAATTCGATGATAAATTCGAATTTATCTAGAAATTTTTCACCTTCGAGCAAAAGTAATTCGATTATAAATTCGAATTTATCGCCGTTGAATTGCAGTCAAAGATCACGACGCTCCTGTCGAACGAGAGCGAGCTATCGAGAATTAACAGAATCCGACTATTCCGATACATCCGAGGAGTCTTTCAATAAATTTCCCCGCCACAATTCGAAATTAAATTCCACATCGACGAAATTGCAGCAAAAAATAAATTTAAAACCCCTGACAATCCCATCGACAATCACCGACGATATTTGGTTTATCGACGATTCACAACCAATGAAACTTCGTCTTCGGAAATATCGCACGACATCCGTGAGTTCGGATTCAAATTCAATTACGAAAACGAAACAATTGGAAAATTTCCCAATTGAAAAAATTGAAAAAACAAAAATTGACACGAAAAGTGAAAATCCTCCCGAAATATCAGAAATGAATTCAATAGAAAATGCGGAAAACTCCCCAACTCATGATCTTGAATTCGAAAATCCTTTTCAAGAAAATTTGGACTTCATATTCAACTTAAAATCGAGATTTTTGGTTGAAAACAATTTCATCGAAGCTGAAGTCAACGAATATCCTCAAGTAAACGAAGAATCGTTTCTAAATCGTGAATTGGAAAATTTGGAAATTCACAACGCTTCGAATAAAATTATCGAGTTGATGAATTTTGACGATAATTCACAGAATGCAAATGATTTATTCAATTTCACCACGCAATTCAATCGGGAATTACCGGAGAATTTCCAGGAGAACGAAACATATGAGGATCAAGAAGAAGTTGAAGAAAATTTGACAACAATTACAGAGACGGAAAATTTCTTAAAAGAGAGAAAATCCTATCAAGAGTGTATGGAGACGAAAAATTCATCGACAGTGAAGAATTTTATTGACGACTATAAGGAATCATTGGGTTTCTGTCCAATCGAAGACTCGGAGAATTTAATGTACGAAAATTGTCCAAATTTGGAAATTAATTCCCCATTAGAAATAAATCGAGAATTAATTTCTCAAGTTCCCGAAAATCCCTTTGGGGAATTAACCGAATTTTTGCAATTAAAAAATCCCTCCTGCTCGACTTTCAGGGAAATTTCACGAGTTGAGAATTCGGAAATTTCTCCAGAGAACACTTTTTCTTTTCAAGTGGAAAATACGGAATTTTCGGAAAATTCGATAGAAACGGAAAAAAATCGCAACTCCCCAGAGAAGAGGGAAAATCACGACCCAAAGAAAATTCGAGAACGAAAATTAGAGGAGAGAAAAAAAATCCCAAAAAGAGACAATTCTCCTCCAATATTGAAAATTCAGTCATCCCAACCATTGGAGGAACGAAAAGAAAGTCCCCGACAACTTTCCTGTCCAATATTGAAAATTCAGCCGGAAAATTCAGAGTCTTCATCAGACGAGGAGGAAATCGAACCACTGAAAATTCGTATCACGAAATCAGAAAACGAATTTTCGAGAAATTCGATTTTACAGAAAAATTTAGAGACTTTGCACTTTCATCTCTCGCCCGCCAAAATGGAGAAAGCGGCAGAGAAAAAAATGGAAAATCCAGAGAAGAAATTGAAAATCAACACTGGCGAAAATCTCGATGCCTTGAATTTTCATCTTTCGCCGGCGAATTTGAAAACAAAATTACGACTGAAGCAAACAAAATTGGATATTTTTAATTATCATCTCTCGCCGAAAATGCCAACAAAAAGTGTTAAAAAGATTTTGGAAAATAGAGAAAATCGAGATGGTGATGGAAAATTGGAGAATGAGAAATTTATTATCGAAGTGGAACAAAGTTCGTCTAGTGAGGATGAGGAGGAGAAGAAGAAGAAGAAAATAAAATTGAGTGAAATTAATTATTCTTCAACGTTGGAAAAGAAAAATTCGAAATCTAATTCAAATTCGAATTCAAATTCGAGAGTAAATTCGCCGAAATTTTCAGATGACAATATTTCGAGTACGACGGAAAAAATTGATCTATCAGTCAGGGACGTGGACAGTTCATCGACCGATATTGAAGAAGGTATGAATAAATTCTCTGTGAATAAATTCTTATTCAGAATTTTGAATTCTGTTGAAATTAGTTTGAATTTTAAAAATTTTAACTCAATTTTTTTAAAGAATTCAACTATTTTAATAATTATCAAAATTATTTCCAGAAATTCAATTATTTTCAAAAATTGCAATATTCATCACAAGAATTCAATTATTTTCAAAAGTAATAAAATTCAATTATTTTCAAAAATTTTAATACAAATTTATGGCAAAATTTTAATTATTTTCAAAACATTTTTTTAATTAATTGATTTTCAATATTTTATTATTTTAATAAAATTTTCAGAATGAATTCAATTATTAAACAAAAAATATGTTGATTAAATTCTACACGAACGTTGAATTATTTTCCAAAGAATAAATATTTCACTGAAATTCAAATGGAATTATCATTTTTTCCAAAAGAAATCAAATGTTTTAAAATTTGTAATTAAATTATTTGCAGTAATTCAATTATTTTCAAAAATTTTTCTTAATTCAATGATTTTCGATATTCTACTATTTTAATAAAACTTTCCAAAAGAAATCAATTATTAAATAAAAATTTTGATAAAATTCTTCATAAAGATTAAATTATTTTCCAAAAAAAGAAAAATTTAACAGGAATTTTATTTTTCAAAATAGAGTTTGCAATTATTATATCACATTTTTCGAAAAAAAATCAATTGTTTAAAACTTTTTTATAAAATTCTTCGCAATAATTCAATTATTCTCAGAAATTTTAATAAAATTCATTGCAAAATTCAATTATTTTCAAAAGTATATTAAAATTCAATTATTTGCAAAAATTTTAGTAAAATTCTTGGCAAAATTTTAATTATTATCAAAAATTTTTCTAAATTTAATGATTTTCAATAAACAACTATTTTAATAAAATTTCCCAAAAAAATTCAATTATTTAAATTTGAAAAAAATTCTTCGCAAACATTCAATTAGTTTCATAAATAATAAAATTGCTCACTAGAATTCAATTATTTTAAAAAGTAATAAAATTCAATTATTTGCAAAAATTTTCTTAATTTTATGATTTTCAATAATCAACTATTTTAATAAAATTTCCCAAAACAATTCAATTATTTAAATTTGGATAAAGTTCTTAACAAACATTCAATTATTATCATAAATATTAAAATTGTTCTCAGAAATTCAATTATTTTCCAAGAATTTAATAAAATTCTTGGCAAAAATTCAATTATTTACAATTTTCATAAAACTTTTATAAAATTACTTTTGAAAAATTCTATTGTTTTCAAAAATTTTAACTTACTTCATTGCAAAAATTTAATTATCTTCATAAATAATAAAATTCTTTTCTGAAATTTAATTAATTTCAGAAATAATAAAGTTTTCACAAGAATTCAATTATTTTCATGAATTAAAAAATTCTTCGGAAAAATTAAATTATTTTTAATACAATATTTTAATCAAATCCTCGAAAAATGTAATTATTCTTAAAAATTTTTTAAAAATTAGTCGAAAGGATTCAATTATTTAAAAATTTGTTCATATGATGTTTGTATTATTTAAATAATTGAATTCTCGTAGAATTTTTAAACAAAAATTTATTTAAATATTAATTTCAGTTAGTTTCAGATAATAATTAAATTTTTGAGAAACTACTAATAATTGCAATTTTTGAAATAATTGATTTAAAGGAGAATTTTAGTTAAAAATTCTAGAAAATAATAATAATTTAAGTTGTTAAGTTGTTGAATTTCAAAGAGGTTTGAATTTTGACTGTTTTGAAAAATTTTAATTCCAATGATGGAAAAATAATAATGATTAAATGTTTATTTAAAAATGAAGTTATTCTTTTTTTTTATTATTATTATTTTATTTTATTAACAAAATTTGTTTTATTTTTAAAACAAAATTTAAAAAAAAACCGTCTTTTTTCAAAGAGAAAAAAAATTATTCTATTGAGAAAATATTTTTAAAATTATAAAAATAATTGTTTTTTTTTTCTATTTTCAGAAATTTATCGTCCAACATCTGAAAAATTAAATTACGAACTCAAAAAGGAAATTCTAAACGATGGAACTTCAACTTCAACAACATCGACAATTTGCATTTCACCAAATAATGATACTGACGATGACATTGTTGATCAATTCGTCGAAGGAACTTAATTCTTAATACTTTTATAAATACCACCAGAAAAAAATGCAATAGAACATTTAATCCTAGGAATCTAAAAAGAATCAAACACTTCAAAAAAATTAGCAATTACTTGAAAAATATTTTTAAATAGTAAATATAAAATGAATTAAAGTTGACTTTTAAAGTTAACTATACATTTATTTTTGATAAATTCAAAAGTTTGTTTTCATACTAAGGATATAAGTTTTTTTATTTTTGTAATTTTTATAAATAGATATTTTTTCTGACAAAGTAATATGATAATATAATTATCGTGTTAAATTATTAATTTCATCAGTATTTGTGATTTCTAAAGTACACAAAGATAAATTAAGTTTGCAAATAGTTTTCTAATTTGGAGTTTAAGAATTCTTATTGAAGACAAAGTTTGTAATCATTTACATTAAATGTAAGAATAAGTAATAATAATATCTAAACTGTTCGGAAAAATAAAATTGTTAAATTTAATTGTGGACGCTTTCTTTTATTATTCAAAAATTTTAATAAAATTTGTCACAAGAATTTCACTATGTTCATGAATAATAAAATTCTTTAGAGCAATTCAATTATTTTCACTACAAATTTAATAAAATTTCTCAAAAGAATACAATTATTTATCAAAATATTAATTAAATTCGATTATTTTCAAGAATTTTAATGTAAATTCAAAAATTTTAATGAAATTCCTTTTAAAAAATCATTATTTCCAATAATTTTGTAATAAAATTTCTTCAAAAAATTCAATTATTTTCAAAAATTCTGATAAAATTCTTTGAAACAATAAATTCAATTCTTTTGATGAATTCTAAAATCCTTCTCAACAATTCAATTATTTTCATAAATAAGAAAATTTTTCGCAAGAATTAAAATATTTTCATAAATAATAAAATTCTACAAAGGAATTCAATTTATTTTCATAACTAATAAAATGTTTCGTAGGAATTCAATTTTCATAAATTTTCTCGAAAGAATTCAATTATTTTTAAAAATACTATTTATAAATTTAATTATTTTCAAGAGTCTTAAATAAAAATTCAATTATTTTCAACAATTTTGATGTATAAAATTCTTTGAAACAATTCAATTATTTTTTTTTTAATTTTAATTCCTGTGGAAAAATAATTTTAATATAAATTTAATTGTACTTGTTTATAGAACATAAAACTCTTGGAAAAATAAAATATTATTTATTTATAGTAGATTATTTTAATAAATTAATTTCCGGAAACCTCTTCCGGAAATTTTCTCATTTTCTGCTATACTCTTCCACATGGAAAAGCTCAAATTTTTAAAAATTTAATTATTTTTCGATTTTTCAAAGAAAATTATTCGCAAAAAAAATTTATTATTAATAATAATTTCTATTTTTTACAATCTAACATTATTTTTTTCAAATAAGAACATACTAAATTTAATAACAAATAATTTCAACTATTTTTTTTAGAGATTAAGGATTTACAATATTTTCTGTTTCATGTCAAAACTATTAACCGAGATAAAAATTTATTATTTTTGCAAAATTAAAATAATCTAGTGTAAAATAAACAAAATATGTATTTTAATATTTTCCACATTTTTATGATGAAATAAGATATTTTTTATATTTTTATTTTTTACAATTCAACATTATTTTTTCAAATAAAATTAAATGCATATATATTTTTAATCTTCCTCGATATAAAATTTTTAAAAGTCGTGACATGTGATGAAAAATTTAAATAACAATTAATTTCAACTATTTTCTAAAGATAGAAAATTCATAATTTTTTTTTTGCATGTCAAAACTGTAACCGAGATAAATGCTTATTATTATAATTAGTACAAATTTTAACTAATTCAAATTTAGAGAATAAAGTTATATAGTAATAATCGTTTATTTTCTTCCGTTGTTGTTAATGTTAAATGTTAAAAACATTAACAAAGAATAAAGTTATAATATTATCATTGCAAAAAGGATTTAGAAATTAATTTATTTTTTCCAATTTTTAGTGCTAAATAATGGTATGTATACTACTAAAATAATGTATAGATCGAATTTAGAAAACTTTTAAATTCAAGTTTTAGAAAAGTTAATATTATTTAAAAAAAATTCCGAAGAATTTATTTTTTTAAAACATTTTTATTTATTTTAATTTTGCAAAAATAAAAAAATTTTCGGTTACAGTTTTGACATGAAAATGAAAATTGTGAATTTTATGTTTCAAAAAATAGTTTTAATTATTAGTCACAAAATGTATTTTTTATCAAGAGTCACGAAATTTGGAAATGTATATCGAGAAACATAAAATATTTATTTTCTTGAAAAAAGTTTAATTTTTACAATAAAAAATTGTTGAAAATTTAGAAATAAATTTCTTATCTCAGCATATAAATGCAGGTCATTTTTTTTTAATTTTTGCATTTACTTCACTCTTACTTTTGATGAATAAAGTTTAACATTATTGAATCTAAAATCATCAATCGAAAATGAAAGGAATGAACCTTTATTTTTTGTGCTTCATGTTAAAATCAGTTGTCGGTTTACCTGACTTTGGAAATATTCCATCAATTGGTGAGTATAATTTTTTCGTTCTTTTAAAAAATGTTAATTATTCTAGTTTATACTTAATATATTGCATTCATCAAAATAGAATAAAGCTACTATTGTTATTAATTTAAAAATCTTTAATTTTTTATTAGATGAATTGTTGTTGAGTGGAATAGATAAAGATCAAGATATTTGCTCTAACGTTACATCATATGCTTGCATTTCACGAGAAGTAAATAATTACATCTCAGCCGATTATTATAAAAATGAAGCACAATCATACATTCGAAGAAAAGCAGTAGGTGAGTTATTTTCCTTTTTTTTAAATAATTTATCTATTATATTCTCAATTCGAATAACAGAATCATTTTTCGACAAAAATTTTAATTCATTTCTATTTAATTTTATTTAAAAAAAAAGACATTTTATTTTTTATACAGGCATTTTGAACTATTATACGACTCATCCTGAACTTGTAAATTTTGAACACGAACTCAAATGGTACTCTACTGTGTGCAAAGGAGAATGTAAATATCATGAAAATAATTTTTATACTAAAAAGTAAAATTATTCCCAAATAGCACAGCAATAGTTGAGATCAAAATAAATATTGATCTTGAATGTTTTGCTTTTCTTTTTACTCTGAATGTTTTTTTTTTTTTTTTAATCTGAATTATACAAATTCTTTAGCATTAATTTTAAAGTTTATAGCTGCAACATGATATTACATAAAATTATAATTATTACAATATTTCTAGTACAATCCACTCAGAATAATAGTTTGAACATTTTGAAAATCACAATGATGCGTTCTAAAGGCGTTCAATATATTAATGATACTGAGGGTATGTCGCATCTGAATAAATTTTCAAACTTTCTCATTGAAATGACAACATGTGTCTATTAAAATAGATATTATTCTTATATTTTTTTAATATTTTATATTTATTCGAAATTTTACAAATTTTTTCACATAATTATTCTCGCCTAGATTCAGTGCCTTGGAAAAAGGTGGCTAAAATTTATGCCGAAAAATTTAAATTTAGTCCATTTTTTGAAGTGATATTTAATGACGATAGTGCATTATCGGTAAGAATATAAATATTTTATTTTTCTCTTTCCTAACTTTAAATTTTCTCTTCACTATATATTCACAAACAGTTTTATGATTCTCAAATTGAGGAGCAAATACATAGTTTATATCGAACAAGAGAGCAACTTACATAAAATATATACCTGATCTTTTACATATATATATTCAGAATTAGAGAATATATTTTTAAAAAATCATTCTTTTAACTTTTGGAAATTTTATAATTTGCAGATTAGAAGACCTTTAACCACAATGTCATTTAAAATGCTTCATGGCGGATTAACTTTGTTGATAAATAAATTTTTTTCCGAATTTGCTGTCGGAACATTTTCAAAGGCGATGGAAAAAGATATAAAAGCCAGATTGAATGCAACAGTCACTACATTCCCAGATAACAAAATGCGCGTTGTGTGCTGCTAATATCATCTGCACGCGTGCCGATTTATCCGCACTATGCGCGTTCACTGGACCACTCAGATGCGTCATCATATGCGATCCATAACTGTCGCATATTGTGATGGGCACATGCGTGACGGTATAATGCGAATAAATTATATTTATACTTCAGCCTTATTTGAATTAAATAAAAAGAAAAGATTATTGACATTAGTAATTTTTTTTAAATTAAAATGTTATTTATAAAAACGATTTTAATTTAATATTTCAGTACAATTTTGGAATTGAAATTGTTAAAAACTTCCAAATTCTTTTTTTGAGGTTATATCTAATACAACAAAAATATATATGTACTTTAAACAAATTAAATTTAACTTTCTTATTTTGCTGCAGTACTAAAAATTAAATCCACAATAATTCCTCACAATAATATCGCAATAAAAAACAATAAAAAATGAAATCACAATAAAAACTTATTTTGATAACACACCACAAACAATGCTGTCGCCATTATAAAATGTGTGATTGCCGATACGGGTGGTTGCGCATCATTAATTGCGTGCGTATTAAGTGCAGTTCACTGCACACGCATTCACAGCATTCGCACTGTGGATGGTAAAATGCGTATGGATTGACTCTTCTAGCAAGTCGCACTTGTGAACGGAACATGCTTATCATTTTGTATCACAGGCGCTTACGAAATGCAGTTCACAACACTCGCATTATTACCAGCGTCACAGACGATAGTAAGATGCGTATATGAACCGACTCATCTGGTAAGTCGCAGTTAGTGCAAGAAACATGCGTTTAAATGCGACGCACGATTGTTATCTGGGCATTTTTAAGTGTAAATTGTCTAAATTAAAATTTCTTTTTTATTTATTAATGACATTAATTTTAACTTAAATCTTTATTTTTAATATAATATATATATCTATAATGTAATCTTTAATCAGCTTTAATAATAATTTTCAGTATCTAGACAATGAAAATTTAAATCTTCATTTTATGCAAATTGTAGAATTTGCAGATATAATAGAAACTATATCTAATTATGATGTAAGTATATAGAAAATTTTTGCAGTAAAATGCAATTAAATAAATAATCTAAAAATTATTTTAAAAATATATTTTTAGTTTGATTGGCTTCAACACTTTCGTAATACTGGATTGAATGTAAATTATGAGGATAAATTTTTCTTTGATACAAGTTACTTTAAAAAATTAACATTACTTTTAACTGAACACACGAACGCAGAGATTGGTAAGTCAGTCTATATTTTTTATTTTTTAATTTTTATTTATTTTCATTTTATTTTCAGCAAATTTAATTCACTTTCTATATTCAATGAATTCGTTGGTTTTTACAACTTGGTATAATGGCGAAAGTCTATCAGCAAACAGATATACGTATGTTTATTAATTAATAATAATTCTTTCCTATTCCAATATTGTTTTTTATTATTAAAAATTTTTTTAAAATATTTTTTTACTATTTATTATTATTTATTATTATTTATTATTATTTCTTATATTTTCTTTAACAGCGATGAAGAATGCTTTACACATATGCCATATAAATCAGGAGTTATCAATAAAATTATAAATGATTATCTACCGAATAAATATTCACTTGTAAGTTAGTGAATCGTTATTTTTTATATTATATATACTCCGCACAAGTTTTTAAAGATCAGATTTTTGAATTAATTTTTCTTTTCAGATTCAAAATATGTTCACAAATATAATTGCAGAATATAGGATAGAAATAAAGAACAGTTGGTTAGAAGATGATATGAAAGAAAATTTATTAAATTTATTAAAGGAGGTAAAATTGACAACAACTGATGTACAATTGAGTTCATCGAGTGTGGAAATGATACAGGTAAAGATTATTTTTATGAATATATTTAAAAGATTTTGAATATAGAACAAATTTAGCGCCAAATAAATTACAAAACTTTTTTGAATTTTAAAAAATTAACAACTTTTTATTTATAGTACAGAAATAATCTGGGTAGTGGTTTAGCATCTATAATTGATGCCAAATTTTTTCATGTTAACAAATTGATAAATAGTATTTATGAAGGTGCTTTGTTGAAAAATAGGTGAGCATTGTTTTTATATTCTAACAATAAAAATAAAATTATTAAAAATTTCAAGTGATTAATACTTAAATTGTATTTACTTTTTTTAGAAAACATATTTCAAATCCAAATAGAAACAATGGACGACAGTTAGCTCCTTACGTCAGTTATAATGAAATTGAAAAAAATCTAAGTGAGATATGGAACATAATTTAATTTTAAAATAAAAGCTTATTTATCTCCTATTAAAAGAATAAGGTTTGAAAGAAAATATTTAGAATTTTTCCTCTTTATATAGAAATTAAACTAGATGAATTATGTCTACCATATTTTGATTCTCAATTGCCAAGGTAAGAAACCTTCATAAACTCAATCGCTTAAAAGACATAACAATAAAATAAATTTTAAATAAAATTCGTTCTATTACCAGAAGTTGGAATTATGCATATTATGGAGTTGCTATCAGCAGAGAAGTTTCTAGATTTCTCCTGTTACATTTGTATGACGGTAATAGGAATTTTAAATTACTAAAGCAATTTTAAATGTTATTTACAAAATTAGTATATATGTATAATTTTAATAAAAATTAAACTTTTTCTTAAAGCGGGGTATTCGAGAAATTTTACCTCTAAATTAGATTGCTTTAAACTTTTACAACATTCAGTGAGGGATGTAGTTTTTTTAGATGAACTAATTAATAATTATGTTGGTTTAAAAATGGCCTACAAAGCGTTTAAACGAAATCGAAATTCGTTGCAAAGTCTAATTCAAAACATTCAAGGATTGAAAAATAACATTTTAAAACAACAATTCTTTATCGCTTATTCTGCTGTGAGTATTAGAACAATAAAGAAAAACTGTCTAAAATTTTTTATTAACAATTATTTTATTTAAAAATTTGGAGTTTAGATAATTAATTTAAAAAATTGCAGATTTATTGCGAAGAGACAAATCCTGTGAAAGTTGATATGAGCGCAGCTAATTTAAAAAGTTTTTTAAAGGCATTTGATTGTGGAATTGATAGTCCAATGAATCAAAAAAGAAAATGTGATTTATGGATTGAACCATAATCTCAAGATTTGCGTTTTTTAATGGTGGTGGATTAAGAGTTAAAAAAAATAAAAAAATGTAACTTCTAACATTCAAAAAGAAAAATATTTTGAAATGTAAATTAAAATTTGTTATTTATCTTTAATTTGAATATGAAAATGTATTGTATACCTATACGACTGAAAAATATTAGCTATCAGATAGTCTTTTATTCTTTTTCATGTCCAAACTGCGTATAAAAAAATATACTATGCTTCTATAAAAGTAAAATAAACAATATTTTATTTCTCCAAAGTTATTTATTATTTATTTTTCCTCGATAAAACCTTGTTAAATTCGTCAGACTGTTTTTCGCGATTAAAACTTATTGTATTAAAAATAATTGAAATTTAGAGTGTATTTTTATTAATTATAAAAATAATTAAATTCCTAAAAACATTTTTAATTATATTTATGAAAATAATTGAATCCCAGTAAAAAATTATATTATATTTATGAAAATAATTGAATTTCTGCGAAGAATTTCATTAAAATTTCCAAATAATCATAATTGAATAGAAAAGAATTTTATACATTTAAAAAAAAAATAATTGAATTCCTGTCAAGAATTTTTTTATTTATATAAAAGTAATTTATTTCTGTAAAGAATTTTAATATTTATGAAGATAATTGAATTTTTTTTAAATTTGTAAAACTAATTGAATTCCTGCGAAAAATTTTGTTTTTTATATAAAAATAATTGAATGTTTGCTAAGAATTTTATTAAAATTTTATCATAAATAATAGAATAAATAATTGAATTCTTTTGGAAAATTTTATTAAAATTGTTAATTGATATTAAAAATCATTGAATAGAGAACAATTTTTGAAAATTATTAAAATTTTCCCAAGAATGTCATTAAAATTTTTTTGAAAATAATTGAATTTTGACGAGAATTCAAAAAAAAATTTTAAACATAATTGAAATTCTGCGGTAATATTTATTATTTATTAAAGTAATTGAATCCCTGTAAAAATATTTATTATATTTGTGAAAATAATTGAATTATTGCAAAAAAATTTATAAAGAATTTGTAAATTGAATTTCTGTGAAATTTTTATTATTTATGTGAATAATTAAATGTTTTGGTAGAATTTTATTTAAAAACTGTTAAATAATTGAATTCTTTGGGAAAATTTTACTAAAATAATTGAAATTTTGCAAAGATTTTTTTTTTTTAAATTTTCAAATATAATTGAATTTCAGAAAAGAATTTTATTCTTTATAAAGATAATTGAAATTTCGATGAGAATTTAAAAAAAAATTGTAGAACATAATTGAATTTATGGGAAGAATAATTTTATTACTTTTGAAAATAATTGAAATTTGTGTTTTTATACTTTTTGATTATATATTATTTTTTTTTGTTGTTGTACATTTAGTTTCAAAGAAAGATATTCTTTGAACTGATTTTCATATTATACCGAGAGAGAGTGGCTTATTAGCAGAATTTGAGATAAGCAGAGGTGTCAAACATGAGAAGTGATCTCAAAATACATTGCGGATGAGTGATACTCGTTCCTTCTGCGCTTTATTTTCCGTTACAAAGTGCATAGATTATAATAAGTAAATATAATATTCAAAAGAAAATGTTTTTTTATAACATTTTTAAGTCTTAATTTCCGCGAACGAAAAAAATAGGAGGAAAAACAGTTCAAATGTCACGATAGCTCAGTTGATTAGAGGGTCTCTCTCTCCGCAATATTGAAGGATGAGTCTAAGGTTCGATCCCGATCTCAGGTGTGAAATACAAATATTTTTTTTTTAATTTTGTTTATTATTTTTAATTACTAAATAAATTATTCTTTGGTACAGTTAATTAAATTGGAGTTAATAAATGATATTTTAAATTTATTATAATTATTATAATAATAAAATTATAATTATAATTATAATAATTATTATAATAATATAATATAGTAAATAATTATAATCGTATAATAAAAATAATTCTACTTCCTTTACACATGCTAAAGAGTGTAAAACGTCACATAATTCACAAAATTTGCATTTTTGACAAAAAAATTTTTTTTATTTTGAACCCCCATCGCTAGACATATGTTATTTATGTTTTGAGGAAAAAACATTTTTTTACTGTAAAAATTAGTAAAATAATATGGCAAAATGCAAATTGGTCATAAAGACGTGCGTATATATATATACACATATTGTATCCTTTAAGTGCTCGCAAATTCTTTTTCCTTGAAAAATAATCTGTACACCAGAAGACAAACAATAATCCTTGACGCGCGCGTTAATCGCCGCATGCTTATAGAGAGGTGACGTCTACCATATGCTCTGAACTGGAAATACCGGCAAACATTTTTATTTGTCCTGCTATAAGGTGCGAAAGAAAACTATTCTAACAGTATATAATATAAGCTTAACTCCAAATAATACCTTTTATCCAAAAAAGAAAATTTGGAAAAAAATTAAAAACCCTTTTTGGTCATATAGAAAAATTGCATGATTTTGAGGTTAAGTTCGTCTCTGGGTCATTTTGCGAAATCAAATAAAAAATTATTGTTTAGTCTTTGGAATTTGATTTTTTCATTTTTAGAGGTTATGTTCGACTAAAATTTTCAATATAAAGCGTTTTCATTTGAATTTGTTTTTCTTTCTTTTTTTTTAAGAACTAAAAAAAAGAGCAGAGTGTAAAAAAAATGAAATACTTACTGTTTTTCATGCGGAAAAAATAAGGAAAGAGGCGAACCTTCAGTTTCATTGTCTCGAAGCGCGGGAACTCCTACACACTATACACTCGTTAAGTACCGGAAAAAATCCTCTCACGGTGCAAAGTTCACGGTCGTTCTTATAACGATTCTTATCGTCTTTCACGGATTCGCAGCCCTTGCGGCTCGTTACTCGCTTAAATTACTCTTGTAATAACAAATAACAACATCTACCTATTATTCTGTCGCAAAAAAAAGGAGGTTTCAACAAATTTTCTCTATATAGCAAAAAAATACACTCAAGAAAAAAAAATTATCCAGAAAAAATTATTATTATTATCCAGAAAAAAAAGAAAATTATAGAATTTAAATAAAAATAGAAAAGAATAAGTAAAATAGAAGAAAATTGTACGTCTTAGATAAGAAAAGAGAAAATTTTTAATTACAAAAACTTGGCAAAGTGGTCAGAACTTCCGACTTGCAACTAGAAATCCCAGGTTCGATTCCCGCTAGAAGTAAGATGTTTTTTCACCTGTAAAAAAATATAAATTTTGATAATTGATAAAAAGTAAATAAAAAATAAAGCGGAGAAATATAGAAATTTATTTAAATTTCATAAATAAAAATAATATTGTCGTTAATAAATATTTACAAAAAAAAAAAAGAAAAAAAATTAACTGTAGTGGAATTTCATTGAATTTTATTCGTCGATCATCGCGATCATCGACCTCCCAAAAGAAAAGTGCGATAGGCAAATATTTCTCGGATGATTCCCCAGAAAAATAACGGTTGTCGTCTTGTTATAATTCAAAGAGCGACATAAACAATGACGTATCATTGGAATTTCTTTAGCGTCGTCGTTGCGCGAACAGAATCGACGCAATTCTTTTCGAAGCCGCAAGAGGAGGACAAACAATAATTGTATTACTGTTACGTTTAACCCCCCCTGCCCCCTCGAGAAAAAAATTTATATTTATTATCAAATATACTGAAATATAAATAAATAAAAATTTTCAAACAAATATTATTGCAAATTTTATATTTAAAAATATTTTAGATCCGAATGTTTCATTCATTTTTCCAAAACAATAAAAAAATAAAAATAGTTAAAATAATAAAACTAGTGAAAATATTAAAAAATAATAATAATAACAATAATAATAAAAATAATATTAAAGTGCGTACGTGGTTACGCGGTTTTGTTAACCGACTAGTGAGCGTGAGTCTAGCGATCGACTCCTGTCACCTGCGATTTTTTTTCTCTAATAATATAAAAATAAAAATAAAAATAATGATAAAAATAATAATAATAATAATAATAATAATAATAATAATAATAATAATAATAATAATAATACTAATAATAATAATAAAAATAATAAAAATAATAATAATAATGGTTGAAATAATAATAACAATAATAATAATAATAGAAATAGTGGTAATAATAATAATAATAATAACAATAATATCAATAATAGTGTAAACGTCAATATACCAAAAGTAAAAATAGAGAGAGAATAGTAAAAAATATTAAAATAATAAAAAACCAACATTGAAAAAAATATAATAAAGAAAAAGAAAAAAATTGTTAACGAGTTTGTAGACCAAAGAAATTAAAGAAGTCGCTGCTTTAATCATCTCATTTAAAGATTCGCGCCTCTACTTTTACTTGTGAAAAAAAAGAAAGAAAGAAAATGACATTATCGACGTATGTTAATGAAAAAAAGCCACTTTTCTAAATTTAAAATTAAATAAACAAAAAATATTAATTAATTTTTATTTTTGTAAATTTTGTTATTAATAAAACGAAAATTTATGTTCGTTGTGACAATTAAAATTGTTTCCTTTTAATTTTCGACATGGAGCATTTAAAATAGGCGCGCAATGTTCAACCAATGAGAGGGCAAGAATTGCGCATGCGCATTACCGGTATTTTCTCTATTTTCAGTGTTGCACCTTCCCATCTCTTTTCGGTTTCTTCACGCGACAGCGCATAATGGTGAGTGAATTGATCGTGAAATATTTCTCAAATAATCCGTAAAAATCCAATCAATCGACAATTATTTCTTGATAAAAATGAATTTTATGTAATATAGACCTTTTTTGTTATTAATTTCATAAATAGTTTCTCGATATTTTTTCATATAAACAAATCGCTCTTGACACTTTTTCTATGATAGTTTTCGTACCCTTCTGTCACGTTTCATATTCTCTTTTTTTCATATAAAATTAAAACATTTATTTTCAATTCGAACATGGTTTATTAAAATATGTAAATATTAATGTATTTTTTTTTGTTTTACAGTCGACACATAAGAAAAAGACTAGGAAGCTTCGAGGACATGTCAGTCATGGACATGGTCGTATTGGTAAGTTAACCTCTAAATACACATTCTTTTTTTTTATTTATTCCGCGAAGTTTAATAGTTAAATGTTAAATGATAAGTTTTTAAGCCACGTGGCTTGAGTGGTTATAAACTTTAGCGAAAAGTACAAAGTTATTTTTTCTAATTAAAGAATTGGTGATTTTTGTGGATTTTTGTCACTTGTCAACATAACCTTAAATTTCAGGAAAGCACAGGAAGCATCCTGGTGGTCGCGGTAATGCCGGAGGTATGCACCACCACCGAATTAATTTCGATAAATACCATCCTGGATATTTTGGAAAGGTGAGTACTCGAATTTTTTTCTTTAAAAACAAAATTGGAAATTCAAAAAGAAAATCTTATTCTTGAACGTTTCTTAAATTTCGTACTTTTTAACTTTTTGTACTTAGTTTTTTTTAATGTTTCAAATTCCAAAGGAAAATTTATGAAACGTTTCTTAAATTACTATTTAACTTTTTTTGTAATAAATGTTTGTTTCTTTAATTAGTTTTGAATTTTTTAAAAGAAACTAATTTTTATGAAACGTTTCTTTAATTATTTTTGAATTTTTTGTGCTAATAAATGTTTGTAAATTTAAAAAAATATAATTTTTATCAATATAAAAGTTACTTTTGTTCCTTTCTCGAGTCTCAACGAATAAAAACGTATTTTTAACTATTTTTAAATAATTACTTTCTGTAAAACCCATTTTTATAATTATAGTAAAAAATAAGTTTTTTTTATTATATTTGTAATTTTATTTAAATTATAAACACATTTTTTATTAGTTTTTGAATGATGATAGTTTGCTTTCACCGGCGAAATGATTTCTATGAAATTAAACCTTATGGATCTGATTTGAAATTATAATTTTAAAATCAAGTGTTATTAAATTTCTACATCATTAACATTTTTATTTTCTACCTTTACAGCTTGGTATGAGAAATTATCATTTGAGAAGAAATTCCAAATGGTGTCCCACGATGAATTTGGATAAACTATGGACCCTTGTTTCTGAACAGACGAGACAAAAATACAAAGAAAATAAAGAAGGAAGAGCTCCAGTGATCGATCTCGTCAAAGCTGTGAGTTCATTAATTATTTTATTTATGAATTTAAAAAATATAAAATATTTATACGAAACTTAATTTAATTTAATCAAGTAATCAAAAACTAATGAAATGAATTTTTCTTTGTAGGGATACTACAAACTTTTGGGTAAAGGTAGATTACCCAACCAACCTGTTATCGTTAAGGCCAAATTCTTCAGTAAATCGGCGGAAGACAAAATCAGAGCTGTCGGTGGTGCTTGCGTTCTTTGTGCTTGAAGAATCAGGTAAATAGATTTCATTTTTTCTTCATTTTTTACAATTTTCTTGTTTAATTAAACTATAAAGGTGTCTGAATTAAAATATAAAATGTAAAACGTATGCAAAATTATTAATTCGATTGTAATTTTGGATAATACTTTGAAATTATTATTTTAAAAATATTCTAAAATTAGTAATATTATTAAATATTTGAAAAATATTTTTAAATTGGCAATATTTTAAAAATGTTTGACTATTAAATTTGTCATTTAAACCTTGTTGATTTTATATTTAAAATGATGAACCAGAACGGGCGGACTGAAAAGTGCGTACAACACTTTAAACCCTGTTGAATGTTCTTCTCTGATTATACAATTTTTTTATAATTTAGTTTAATCTTTCTTTTTGTACGTAAATCAATTTTTTGACCTGCTTTGTTTTTATTGTCTGTTTCAGAAAACTTTTCTACATTAACAAGAAAGGTAAATATTTGCCATCTCTATAAGGAAAATTAAATATTTAACGATTGGAATAGAAGTAGAAAAAAAGATGAAAAATTGAAATAGAAACATAAATTGAAAAAGAACAAATAGAAGCAAAAGAAAAAATGCAAGTTAAGTAGAAATAGAAATTAAATTAAATAAACAAAATTCTTTTAAAAGAAAAAAAACAGAAATAGAAAAAAATAAACAAAAGAAAAAATAGGGATAGAAATAAAACGATAGAAACTAAAAAAACAGAAATATAAAAAAATAGGGATAGAAATAAAAAAAATAAAAACTAAAAAAACAGATAGAAATTAAAAATGTAGAAAGTAACGAAAAAGTATAAATAAATATAAGAGAAAAGCAGAAAGGTAGTTAGTAAAATAGAAAAATATTTTCATGATGATATCGAACGGGCGGACTGAAAAGTGCGTACAACACTTTAAACCCTGTTGAGTCGTTCTTTTCTGATTATAAGATTATCTTCTCATTGACAAGATAGTTCAATTTTTCATTTAATTTACAAAAATGTTCTTATATTTAAACGAAATTATAATTTTTCCCCTTTTTCCATTTGTTGCAGAGAGTTGACTGGCTTCGGTGTTTCAAGGTATACACTTTCCATCTGTGTATTATACTTAATAAAAAAAAGAAAGAAAATCTAATCCAAGCGTAATTCATTCCTTCTTGCGTTGAAAGTGAAATAAGATTAGATTTTTTTTTAATATAAAACAAATCTTAAAAACTATTGTGTTACTTCTTCAAAATTATTTTCATCATTTCAATTCAATTATTATTTTCTAGAATTTTTAACTAAAATTCTTCTTTAAATCAATTATTTTTAATAGTTTAAAAAGAAAAATTCTTTGTGAATTTTCAAATCCATTTATTCACAATTCAATTTCGATTATTTGGAAATTCATAAATTAAATGTATATTAGAGAATGAAAATTTAAAATAATTTTTTTAAAAAATTCTATTCAATTTTTTCAAAAAAAATTAATTTCACAGAATTGTTAGTTAAAAGTATAAAAAATTAAAATTTTCTAAGGTTTTAATTAGAAACTTTTCCAAAATTCAATTATTTCTAAAAAAAAGTCCACCCTATAATGCTTTTAATATTCAATTATTATATATAAAATTAATTTTTTATTAAAAAATTATACGAGGATTGAATTATTTAAATGTACAAAAATAAATAATTTATTGAATAATTGAATGTTTCTTGAAATTTAATTCTTGTAAAGAATTTTATTAACAAATTTTAATACAATTCAATTCTTGCGACAAATTTTAATATCATTTTTAAGAATAATTATGTTTTTCAAAAAGAATTCAATCTAAATATCAAGAATAATTGAAATTCTGCGAGCGATGAATTTTATTATTTATGAGATTAGTACCTAATAATTGAATTTCTGTGAGAATTTTATTATACATGAAGATAATTGACTTTTTGCTTAGAATTTTATTAAAATTTTTGAAAATAATTGAATTTCTATGAAGAATTTTATTTTTTATAAAAAATAATTGACTTTTTGTCAAGATTTTTATTAAAATTTTTGGAACTAATTAAATTTTTGACAAGAATTTCAATAAGCTTCTTAGAAATAATTGAAGATCAACGAAGAATTTTATTAAAATTTTCAAATTTAATTGAATTTTTGCGAAGAAATTTGTTATTTTTGAAAATAAATGAATTTCTGCGCAGAATTTTGTTATTTTTAGAAATAATTGAATTCTTGCGAAAAATTTTCAAATATAATTAAATTTCTGCAAAGAATTTTAAACATTTTTTTAAAATAATTGAATTCCTTTCAAGAATTTAATTATTTTTTAAAGTAATAAAATTTCTGTGAAGAATTTTAATATTTATGCAGATAATTTTGAACTTTTGCATAGAATTTTATTAAAATTCTTGAAATAATTGAATAATTTAAGTTTATCGGAAAATTTTATTAAATTTTTTTTTAATTGAATTCGTTTGGAAAATTTTTGAAAATAATTGAAATTCTGTGAAGAATTTTGTTATTTATACAAATAATTGAATTATTGTCAAGATATTTATTAAAACTTTTGAAAACAATTGAATTCCAAAATTTTTTTTAAATAGTTGAATTCTTTGGGAACTTTTTGAAAATAATTGAAATTTTACCAAGAATTTTATTAAAACTTTTGAAAATAATTGAAATTTTGCCAAGAATTTTATTAAAATTTTTGAAAATAATTAAATTTCGGAGGATTTTATTATGTATTTACAAAGATAATTGAAATTTTGACGAGAATTTTTAAAAAATTTTAAACATAATTAAATTTTTGCAAAAGATTTTATTTCCTCAATAATTTGTAACTTCCCCAAAATTTAATTTTTTGGTGATGTTTTTAACTAAAATTCTAATTTATTTGAGAAGAATTTGAATTATTAAAATTTTTTTTTAAATTTGTAATGAAATTCATTAAAAATTGAAATTTTTTAAAATTTCAAATTGAAACCTTTTGAAGTTCATCTATTTATGAAAATAGTAAACCCAACTCTTTTAAAATGCAATTAATTTTGAAATATTTAAGTAAAATTATTCATTAAATAATTTCTGAGTCATAATTTGATGATAGTTATTCAAGAATTAAGTTGTTAAAAAGAAATTGTTAGAAATAGAAAAATTTGATCGTTTTTTATTAGAATTCGTGGTAATTTAATATTTTATGAGGCAAATAACATTAACATTCGTTAATTGACAATATTTTTTAATTCATAATTCACACTCAGTTTTTATACAATTCATTCACATTGTGTCCCAAGAAAGAAGGAAAAAAAATTATAAAATTTAAACGAGATGCGGAGGAGGTGGTGGAATGGCCATTCCTCCTGTTAATACTGAAGGAGGTGGAGGTACAGGATTAAACATTGGCGGTCGTGGAGGTGGTGGAACAGGCATCATTTGAGGTCCCAATCCCGGTCGAATTAAAGGTACCGGCGGTGGTGGTACTTTTCCAACTGTAGGCTTCTCATTCTTAAAGGCAAATTGCAGGAAAAATTGTTTAGTATCCTTATTCCAATGGGTCCAAAATTTACCCTCCGCTTTCTCCACTTCTCTACTCGGTACCTGAAACGTAAAATTTTGCTATTGATTTTTGCAAAGTTCGTGATTTTTAATCAAAAATAAAGAGTTTTTATTTTACACACGGAGAATTTTTTAATTTTAGTTATAAAACAAACCTTGAAGGCAATAGTCTCATAGGGCTCGGCGGCGAATAATAAATATTGCCATTTACGATCGGGAGGTTCGACTCTCTGCTCGTAGGCCGACATGAATCGATGTCTGGGGCAAATGTTGTCAGCAACTTCTGGATAATCGACTTGAAACAATAGACTCTGCTGTCCGGATTCGGGATCTCGTTGTTTTGTTACTCGATAGCCGGGTCTTCCGATTTTGACGAATTTTTTCGGCTCGACGCGAGGTTTCTCGGGAGCTAATGTCTGTGGTGCTTCCTTGGCTTCTTTAGCGGCTCTTCTCGCTAAATTTGCTTGATGTTTTTTGCCCTGAGTGTGAGCCAGATAACTGCCTTCGTTATTGTGAAGAGTGAGACATAGTTTACATTCATAGGAGCCAAGGTGATTTTTCATAAAGTACGGATCCTTATTGAGATCAATTGTTTCGAGAGCCAATTGTCGGAGACGTTCTCGTCGATCGCGATTACTCTCCGACCAAGAGGCGACACCGCCTCCTCCGGTTTTTCCACCGGGTCTGTTTTGAAAATCCATGACTACGAACTACTGTAGGAGAAGGTTTAGGCACAAAAGTTAAGTAAGTTGAGTTAATATAAATAAAAACTATATAAATACTAAAAAAATTGTATAAAAAATTTCATTTTTAGTAATTATCGTAATTATTTAAGTACTTTTAAAAATGGAGCAAGATTTGTCCTTTATAATGACGTTCATAACCTCAAAATGTATTTTTTAAAATTAATACTTAAAATGCACGTAAATAAATTTAAATAACTTAGTGAATTTAGTATATTTAGTATAGATTTTGTTAGTGAATAGAAATAATTATTTTCTATTGCAAAAATAAGTTAAATAGTTCAAAATACATTCGATTTTTGTAGTTGTTTTGAATAGTTTTTATTACGAAAAATGAAACTACTTTACCTGCAATGCTACTTTTTTAAGGTAGAAAACACACTTATAATATTTTTGTTTATCGTATTTTGTAAAAATAATTACAAACTATATATAAAAAACCTATAAATAGTTACAAATTTTGTAAATAGTAAATTTCCAAAACGCCTGAAACTGAAACGTTTTGACAGAACAGGGTTGGGTAGTCAAACTGGACAATTTGTAAGTAAAGTTAATTTACGTAACTTCACACTGCCGTAGCGTAAAGTTCAATTCAAAAAATAAAAAAAAATTGTCAAAATTTCAATTATTTTTAAAAAAATAGCAAAATTCTTCGCCGAAATTCAATTTTAATGAGGAATTTTAAAAAAATTCATTTGAAAAATTCAATTCTTTTCATAAATAACAATATTCATTACCAGAATTCAATTATTTTGAAAATTAATAAAAAATTCTTCACGGAAATTCAATTATTTACAAAAAATCTAAAAAAAAAAATTGTCAATATTTCAATTATCTTTATAAATGAATAAAAAAAATTCTTTTACAAAATTCAAGTATTTTTAGGAATTTTAAAAAAATTCATTAAAAAATTCAATTATTTCCAAACCTTTTAATAAAATTCATGGCAATATTTCTATTATTTTCAAAATTAATACAATTTTTTAGCAAGAATTTTATTATTTTCAAAAATTTCATAAAATTCTTCCCAAAAATTCAATTCTTTTAAAAAATAACAATACTCTTACAGAAAGTCAATTATTTTCAAAAAATTTTTAAAAAATGTCAATATTTCAATTATCTTTATAAATGAATTAAAAAATTCTTTTACAAAATTAAATTATTTTCAGGAATTTAAAAAAAATTCGTTGCAAAATTCAATTATTTCCAAACCTTTTAATAAAATTCATGGCAAAATTTCAATTATTTGCATAGAGTTTCCAAAATTAATACAATTTTTAGCAAGAATTCAATTATTTTCAAAACTTTCATAAAATTCTTCCCTAAAATTCAATTCTTTTGAAAAATAACAACATTTTCAGCAGAAATTCAATTATTTGTTAAAATTTTCATAAAATTTTTCGCAGTAATTCAATTATTTTCATAAATAATAAAATCATTCGGAAAAAGTCAATTATTTTCATAAATTACAATATCCGTCACAAGAATTCAATTTTTTTTCCAAAATCATAAAATTCAATTATTTTCAACAATTTTTAGAAATAATTACGAATTTTGTAAAGGTTTCAAATTGAATTCTTTGTAAATCTAAATTTTTCATACTTTTAATTAAAAATGCTATTGAATTTAATTTTTTTTTCAAAAGAGGCTTAATCGAAATGTTTAAAAATTTTTTCTAGTTTTTATTTGAAGAATTACGGAATATTCGAAATTTTACGTAAAATATTACATTTTCATGAGAGAAAAAAAAATGTTCTTAAAAATATGAAATTATTTATTTCGTTATAATACAAGACAACAATTAATAATAATAATTTACGATCGTACTCTTTCTCTTGGCTCGCTTTCAATTTCATATTCAATTTCAACTTTAGGACGAGAATTCGTTTTCTTGTCAAATTTGCTTTTCTTATTGAATCTAGGATTCTTCACTTTTCTACTCGTCGATGGCGCCATATCCTGTTTTTTGAAAAAAATAATTTAAGTTAGTATTAAAAAAACGGATAAATAGGAAAAAAGTAAAATTAGAAAAAAAAGAATATAGAAATAAATAGAAAGAAAATAGGAAAAATATAGAAATAAATAGAAAGAAAATAGAAAAAATCTAGAAACAAATAGAAAGAAAATAGAAAGAAAATAGAAAGAAAAATAGAAATAAATAGCAAAAATTGAAAGAGAATACAATCCTTTCTCTATTAGGAAGCAACAAAAAAAAATAGAAAAGAAGAAAAAAGAAAAGAACAGAAAATAGAATTAGGAGTAGTTAAAAAAAATTATTGAAGTGGATACCTCGATGTCGCTCGTTTCGGATTCAAAGTCACTGGAGACTTCGACATTCTCTTTGAGTCCGGAATCACTTTCTTGATCGTCAGATTCGTACTGATAATCGTCATCATCGTCACTGTCGTCATCCTCGACGTAGTGTTCAGTTTCCTCAATTTCTCGTTCGTCAGCTTCCAATTCCATTTCGACTTCTTTTTCGATCTCCCTCTCCTCCTGAAATTAGTTTTTCAATCATTTACTATTCGCTCTTTGCCAAACAAAAGTATTGATTTTTTTTGAATTTCATTAATTTCGAGTTATTTGAGAATTAGAAAATTTTTATTCAATTCAAAAACAAACCTCTTCTTCACTTTCCGCTTCGCTTTCGCCTTCCACTTCAACTGCTTCAACTGCCTTTTCAAAGGCCTTTTGAGAGAAGTTGTAGATATCCTTGTACTGAAAATCGTACAATTATTTATTAATCTATTGGTTATTAATTCTCTATTAGTTATTAATTCTCTATTAGTAATTAATTATCTTTTAGTTATTAATTATTAGAAAAAAATTCTTACCACTCCTTTCTTGAGCCTCTCCATCAATTCTTTTTCAATTGCAGTGTCAAGTTTCGCGGCAACAAGAGCCTTCTCCTCTCGCCTCCTCTCTCGTCTCTCAATTTTCCGTTGAAGAGGTACAATTTTCTTCTGACGTCGAAGACGCAATTTTCTCATTCGTATAAGGTATTGCGTTATTTTCACGAATCTTTGCTTGCATTTTGATTTTATGAATCCAGGCCAGTAGAGAAGGTTTTCGTTCACTTGATGAATCGCCTTTTCGAAATTCCTCGAGAGTTTCACCTTTTCCCACATTTCCTTTGGAAAATGCACTCTGCGATTTAGAGAAAAAGATAATTTGAACATTACGTTAGTTATTTTTTTCAAAGTCTTCGATTATTAAAGGTAAATTTGTACTGAGTAAATAAAACTGAAATTTAGAAATATTTACGAAGTAAATAAAAATATTCGCTAAATGGAAAGAAATGTTTACTAAGTAAATAAAAATATTCGCCAAATAAATAGAAATATTTACTAAGTAAATAAAAATATTCGCCAAATGAATAGAAATTTGTACTATTTTTGAAAATGTTTACCAAATGAATAGAAATTTTTAGTATTTATGAAAATGTTTACCAAATGAATAAAAATGTTTACCAAATAAATACAAACGTTCATTGAATAAATAGAAATATTTTACCTCTCCGCTGTTCGCATGTATAGAAAAATAACACCATTTTCCTCTCTTACAGTGGCATATTGACTGTTGGCCAGAGGACAGGAAGCACGACTGCACAAACCGGTGAGGTTATATTCATTACGGCAAAACCTCTGTGATTTTGTACTGAAAAAGTAGAAGATTTTTTTTTTTTGATGATATTTTCAAATCGAATTAGGTAAGAATTTCTTTTTTTCATACTTACTTTACTTTAAACGAACAAAATGATTTGTTGATAATACTCCAAACAACCTAGAAAAATTTAAGAATAAAATATTTTGTATTTGTGTAGAATTTTGTCTTTATTGTCAAAGAAAAGTTAAAAATAGTTTACGTTTATATACTTACATCGTCGTGCTGCATTTTTGCCTAAATATTATTCCCTTAAAAGGAAGAATTCCTTTAAATAATTTATTAAAAATTATTATATCTGTCACTATTCTCTATCCACGTGCGATATTTTTAGGTTAAGGTTAGTTTACATTTCCAATCTTTTCAATTTGCTCATTTCTGATTGGTTGCTTTCAATTTTTGCGCCTAATTTAAATTCTTGACTTTTTCAATATAAATTTATTCTCCTATTCAAATTTATTCCTCGATCCTGATGAAAATAATTGTTCTTTTGTATTTTTTTTTTTATAAAATTAAATTTTTGAAGTAAATCCTAATCCTGGTAAAAATTTAAAAAAGAGTTTTAAAATCGCTTAGGGAATTTGATTTACTTTGGGGAATTTCGACAGTTACCTACGTTACCGACAAATATGGTTGTGTAATTGTGTTTCTCGTTTCAGTTGCAGGGTGTCACTACCGTCGCGGTTGAAAAGCAACCTAGTGCAGCGCGCCTACGCCAGATGTCTATCTACGTTTCACAAACGACATTACCATTCTGGTATTTTCCAAAATTTAAAACTGAAAAATGTGCTCAGTGTTGTGTGTGTTTTCCATTGTTTTACTTTTTTGTCGAATAATCCGAATAATTACTCTAATAATGAATCCGCCCAAGTGGCAAAGGGCAATTGTCGTAACTCCCAGGCTGAGCAAAAGTGAAGAGAATCGACGCAATTAAGTTTGGTAAGTAAAAATTTTCTCTGAATTAAACAAGTTTTGTCTTGCACGTGCGGTATTTTGTTCCGCGGCTAAGTGCGGAATTCGGTATATTTATTGATATGAACAATGGCGCAATTTACGAGAAAGCGGTGATTTTGGGATTTTTCTCCATTTTTTCGCATCTTGAGTGTATTTTTGTTTCTTTTACTATTTTCCCGTAGCATTTCGATGTTGGTGAAAATATAACAATTATTTCCGATTGTTGATTAATACGATTAATAAATTTATGCAAATATGACCGATTGCATAGTCGCCATTTTTTGAGGTTATTTTTTCGTTTATATTGATCGATATTGAGTAGAATTTTTTGTCGTAAATCGGTAAATTCAATATAAACGGAATTAGAATATGAATTAAAGAAATAAGAGTTAGAATAACAGAAATAAATGTGGGGTTAGGGCTGTTTAATTATTTTTTTACAGTATGAGGAAAATAAATTGGATAAGTAAATGATTCTAAAATCAATGTTGTGGGAAACTGAAAGATTTTTTGGAATTTTTTTATAAGTACTTATACAGTTTTTTTATTAATTTTTTTCACATAGATCTTTATAATTAAACTTAATTTCTTTTTTCCCAGTGTGTAAGTGTTGAGATGAAGTCTACGAAGAGGAAAAAGAGGAGAAAAAAATGCGGAGAGATGGAAATATAATAATCGTCAATTCACGATTGGATATTGAAATACGGAGGCAATGACAACAAAACCTGCGAGATGTAATTGACTGCTGAAAAACTGTGAGTACTTTTTTCTCTACTTTCTTTTTCCAGCATTTATTGCTTTACATTATCGTTTTTGATATTCTGTTTAAAAAACGAAGAAAAAGCAGAATATATCTTTTCGAATCAGTGTTCAACGGGCATAAATAAAAATATTTCGGTTTAGTTGAACAAAATTTTTCTAATTCCTAATTAGAAAAGAAGAAAAATTTAGATAACTTTTTAGTGTTAAAAAATGGTAAATTTAACATGGAAATTTAGAAAACATGGAAATGTCAGGGGATTTTATAAATCTTGAAAAAACCTAGAAAAGTCAGGTAATTTTGATTGAAATCCTTGAAAATTATGAATTCAATTTTAAAAGAGTCGAGTTTACTATTTTCATAAATAGATAAACTTCAAAAGGTTTTAATTTAAAATTTTAGAAAATCTCAATTTTGAATGAATAAATTAAATAAAAATTATTATAATTATAATTAAAATAAAAGCTTCGCTTCGCCTACAGTTTGTTCCAAAAAAAGCGCTCATTCAAAAATTGGCAACTGCTCGCACTCGTTACGAAATATACTATATATTAATAAATTCGTCTCAAGAATTCAATTATTTACAAAATTAATACAATTCTTCGCAAAATTCAATTATATGGTCAGAAGTTTAAGAAAATTCTCGTCAAAATTTCAATTATCTTTATAAATAATAAAATTCTTCTTCAAAATTCAATTATTCTCAAAAAATATCAAAATTCTTATCAAGAATTCAATTACTTAAAAAAATTTCATAAAATTCTTCGCAGAAATTAAATTATTTTCAAAAATTTTATAAAATTCATCGCAGAAATTCAATTATTTAAAAAAAAACAAAATTTTTAGCCGAAATTAAATTATTTTCAAAAATTATCATTAAATTGTTCACGGAAATTCAATTATTTTCAAAAATTTTATAAAATTCATAGCAAAAATTCAATTATTAAAAAATAAACAAAATTTTTAGGCGGAATTAAATTATTTTCAAAAATTATCATAAAATTCTTCGCAGAAATTCAATTATTTTCAAACTTAACAATATTTTTATCAGGAATTCAATTATTTTCAAAAATTATCATAAAATTCTTCGTAGAAATTCAATTATTTTCAAAAATATTAAAATTTCTATCAGGAATTCAATTATTTTGAAAAATTATTATAAAATTCTTCGCAGAAATTTAATTATTTTCAAAAATATAAAAATTTTTAGCAGCAATTCAATTATTTTCAAAAAATTTATAAAATTCTTCGCAGAAATTCAAATATTTTCAAAAGTTATTCGCAGAAATTCAATTATTTTCTAAAATTAACATAAAATTGTTCTCAAAAATTTTACAATTTTTAAAACTTTTAATAAAGTTCTTGACAAAAATTCAATTATCTTTATAAATAACAAAATTCTTACTAAGAATTCAATTATTTTTATAAAGAACAAAATTCTTAGTAAGAATTAATTTATTTAAAAATTTTGTTACCAAATTTTTCGAAGAAATTCAATTATCATTATATAAATAACAAAAATTCTTCGCAGAAATTCAATTATTTTCAAAAAATACCAAAATTTTTATCAGGAATTCAATTATTTTCCAAAATTTCATAAAATTCTTCTCAGAAATTAAATTATTTTCAAAACATTCAAATAAAGTTATGTTCTTGAAAAAGAATTTAATTATCTTTTCAAAAATATCAAAATTCTTGGTAAGAATTTAATTATTTTCATAAAGAACAAATTTCATAGTAGGAATTAAATTATTAAAAAAATTTTCATAAAATTCTTCACAATATTAAAATAACACTATAGCATGAATTTTTAGTAATAATTTTATTTTGAAAAGGTTGCAGATTAAAATTTTTTGGAAAATTCGAATTTTTCATACTTTTTAACTAACAATGATGTAGATTTAATTTTTTTTTTAAAGTTTAATTGAATTTTTTTTTAATTATTTGAATTTTTTATTTTCTACAATATTTTTAATTAAAGAATTTCTAAATAATCGACACGTAAAATTGTATTGTAAAGAAATGGATTTGAAAATTCTCAAAAAGATAACTTTTTCGAAAATCATTAAAAATAATTGATTTAGAGAAGAATTTTAGTTAAAAATTGTAGAAAATAAAAATTAAATTGGAATGATGAAAATAAATTTTAAACTATAAATTAAATTTTGTTGGCAACAAAAGTAGTTTTAAAAACTTGGAAAAATTCCATTTTTGAACCTGGAAAACCTAGAAAAGTCAGGGAATTTTAAATGAGCAAAGCGTGGCAACCCTGTAATTTAGTAAAACTTTAGTCTCAAGAAGAGGGAAATTTAGAGATTTTTTAGTGTTTGAAGAGGAAAAGAAAATTTAAGTAAAACTTAAAGGGAAATTTAGTGATTTTTGAGTGTTTAAAGAGAAGGGGAAAATTTAAGTAAAAATTAAAGGGAAATTTAGTGACTTTTTAGTGTTAGAAGAGAAGGAGAAAATTTAATTAAAAATTAAAGGGAAATTTAGTGACATTTTAGTGTTAGAAGAGAAGGAGAAAATTGAAGTAAACTTTTTTTAAGCATTGATACAGAAAAGGGAAATAATGTGTATATATTATTCTTTTTTCTGGTAATGCGCACACGAGTATAACATTCGCACAGTATAGTATTACGGATGAGATATAATAGACTGAGTACTCGTTGAAATCTAATGGGGTGTTTACAGCGAAATAAACACTCATTTTATGCGCAATAACAAAGTTAACAAACTCTTTGTGACTGTAGAAGCATTTCGCTAAAGGGTTGAAAGATCTTAGCAACGAAATCATTGTACTGTAGAATAACCATCTAAGCCTCTTCCCCCTTCGAAGCACTAATCACTGGATAATGGACGAATTTATATTCGTACATAGTATCAAGCAACCCCTAAGGGTGTGCGGTGGACGAACCGACGAACGTCATCCTTTCACATTTACCAATCTCGACTCCCAGTTGTGGCCAAGTCAACTTTCTTAATTAAGAGTTCCCTTCGCTCTCCTTCACATCAGCTCAACATCCTCTCTTGGTCTCATGACAGGCACTAGCGTCACTAAAACGCTATATATACAGATAAACCCTCCCTCATCTTCCTCGTCTATTCCGCAATTCAACTCTTATTTTTCTAAGCAAAATATATTTTTTTCTTTTATAAAATTCAAAAAATTTGACATTTTTAATTTCGAATTTTATTTTCAATTTATAAAATTAAAATTTCGTGGTATTTTATACCGCAGGTCAGTGATTTACTAAAACCTACTATTTATCACTTTTTTACGATTTGCACTTTTTTAAAAATTTGTGCCACTAAAAGCTACTTTTTTTTTTAGATTTGCACTACTTTAAATGCTCTAAAAATTAAAACAAAAAAATTATTCTTCTATAAAATTCAAAAAGAGTAAATATTTTGAATTTCGAATTTCATTTTCAATTTTCAAAATTAAAATTTCGCGGGGTCTTTTTTCTGCATGCTTTATTTGATCTTTCCATATTATATAGGAAAATGTTTGAAAAAAGGGTTGTGAAAAGAATTTTTTTAATTCGTATATATATTTTGTATATATTTGAGTATGTTTTGTATTACAAACTAAAATCCCATAGCTTTATACGTTCGAACGAACTTTCGCCTGATCACCCATACACATTTCGTTAAAA